GGCAGCTGTGCTTAGCAAATTCAACACCCAAAAAGTTCACGGAGAGACAATGGGAACAAGTAGCCAGGCCGTTTACTGCCAATCACTCCCCCTTTGTTAACCTCCAGGACAGGCTCCTGACTCACCTGACTTTAGCACCCAACTTCCTGCTGCGGAGCTCAGCACTGCGTTATCTCCAGATACTGCACGTGTCTGTCTCCTCTTATCTTCCCACTTCTCTAAGATGAAACAACACTTCCACTTCGCCCACCACCACTGAAGCACACTCCTTGGCCCTCAGAATCATCCTCAGAATTCTTTCATATCCAAGACTCTGATCTCTGAAATCCTCTGATTACAACCTCCAGAGTTCTCCAGTGCTCACTCGTCCTTGGTGCGTGACTCCCGAGTCTGGAAGGGAATAGGGTCTAAGGTCTTGCCCCTTCCTTTACTCTCACGGTTCATCCCACCTCTCCTGCTTTCTCGCGCCTCTCTGTCCTGACGCGGGGCTGACCCATTCAGAAACATTTCCTGAGCCCCATTTTGCCTCCTCAATCGCTCTTTAGCCCCTCTACCTCCAGTCCTTGTGTGCGGCAACATTAACCCCTGGGGGAGGGGGCAGTATCAGCTGCTTGAGTTTCCGCCTCAAGTTACACTTAAAAGTTCAGGCTATCTAACCTCCCTGGCCCTTACTTCATTCCCACAAACCTTCTGGGTCTTTCTTTTTCAATACACTTCCAGCAGTTCCACTGCACCTAACACATTCCACTGTCTAAGCTGTCCCCGCCCTCCCTGGGTATGAACCAGTTCTCCACTTTACTGAGACTGCAGGGTATGTAGGCCCTTAGGGTCTTCAACTGTCGTCTTCTCCAAGTGGGAAAATAGATGTGCATCCTACTAATCCTGTTTCCTACCATTTAAGGTAGAGGTTCTAAAAAGGCAGTGCAAAAGCTGGATTTGGTCCACTGATGTGTTTTGTTTAGCATACATAGCTGTTTTCTGTTTTTTAGAATATATACTTTAAAAAAAATTTTATTAATATAATTCACAGCGTATATGATTTTTAAAACATAAATTAGTTGCCACTTAGAAAAACAAAACACAACAGAGTTCACATGATGAAATCCAGACTCCTGGCTTCTCCTGGGTAATGAGATTAGACACCACTGAGCCCACACTGTGGAAGTGGCTAACGCTACGTGCACGGCCGTTGGCACAGTGCCTTCGTTCACCACAGGCCCTCCTCCCCACCACACGGCACTTCCTACAGCCTCCCCACCTGCTCCCAGGAGTCTGTGGTCCTTTGATCTAAAAGAAGGGTTCCAACTCATCTCACTCCCTACGCCTGAATGTCCTCAACTTCATCCCTTTCCGACACTGCCTGGCTGGGAAGACACCACCCTGCTTTGCACCTTTAATCTCTTTCTTTGTGAATGAGGCAAGAGCTACTCAGTCCCTTCATTTCCTCTGAAATTCAATCCTCAAACTCCTTTGCTTCTTGTGATGCCTTCCACCACTGACTTCAGCCCCTTTCTCTGGGCCCCCTATGGACAATGCCCTCTTCTGGTTTTCCTCTCACTCTCGGACGCTGCCTCTCTAGCCTCTGTAGTAATGGCAAATGGCCACGAAAGTTGCTGAACACTTACTCTCAACTTCTGTACATCATCGCGAACTAACAGCAGCATACACTGATTAGCACAAGCTGAGAGGTGTCCACGCTGAGGCATTTTTAGAAATACACGTCTCTCATGTCCTTACATCTCTTCCATGACGCTCCACTGCCTGCCTGCAGAGTAAAATCCATGTTCTTCAGGAAGTCCCTTTCCATCTGGCAATTTCCTCCCTTTTCCCCCCACACTTGAGGAATCTGCGATAAAACCGCTCTCTTTCATGTCCCTGTGATTTTGCACATGCTCTTACTCCTGCCAGGAACTCACTGTCCTCTGGCAAACTCCCATTCACCCTTTAGAACCCTGCAGGGCAGAGCAACCCTTCCTTCCCTGTGTTACTGTAACACCGTGCACACACTTCAACTGTTACATGTATCACACTGTACTGTTTGTTTCCCTGTTTGTCTGCCCTAGTAGATTGCAGGTTCTTCCAGCTCAAGGAACAGTTAGCATACTTCCTGGCACGTGAGAAGCTTTCCCTAAATGTCCACTACCTGGTAGCCCCACCAACAGGTCAAACAACATAACCATTTTTTCTGCCACCAGGCTTAAGACTTACCCCTAAATCCCCATATCCACTCAGCTGCCAAGTCCCTGTGAAAACCTTGGCCCCCACCCCCATTAGTGCCCAACTGTAACTTGAAACAATGTTCCTTCCACTGTTGGGTCCTTCCGCCTCCAAATTATGCTACACAGAGTTTCAGGCAAAGTGGTTCCCTCTCAAAATCCTCACTGACTCCCTACTGAGTATATCCCAATGGCCTCAGCCTGGCATTTGGGTCCTCAGGCTTCATCTGTCTCTGGGAGACTCTGACACTCAGTGTGTTTTCTGGCTTCTAAGGACGCTGCCCACAACTACCTGTCTGGAATGCTAGGTACCTGGGAATCTTCCTGGCTCTTCACAGCCCAGCTGAAGTGCTGCTTCCTCCAAGAAATTTCTGCTTTCACAAAAGTGGCCACCCTTATAGAGCAGTGCCTTTTTTCAACCTATCACTTTCTAACAGTTAACTGCCATCTCACCTATCCCAAATAAATGGAGGCCTAACTAAATCTCCACATTCTCTTTTACTCCAGCATTTACAAAAAGCAGCGAAATCAACATTTTGAAAGCAAGAAAACAAAGTAAATCACTTGGTGGGAGAACAGTTGACTTCATCTTACTTTAATCTGAGGCTCTGTATCAGCTAGTTTAAAAATTTCTCTTTACTCTAAATCTTCCTTCCTCCAAACCTTCCTCTCCATGGCTTAACTGAAAATACTATAGACGCTAAATTAAGTTTACTTTCCTGTTCTTAATTTTTTAAATCAAGTTAATGGCTTTCTCTTCCTCCAAAAAAAAAAAACACAGGTAAAACAAACTCCAAAACAAATTAACAAGAACAAAAAGCCCTGGTTGTGCATTCAACTCTTACCCATGAGTCTCAAGAGGGAAAAAAAAGGATTTTTTACAACTGGCAGGGTTGAACTGTGAGTAATACACATCACAAAGATAAACAGGGACAAATACTACCAACATATTGTAAGACACACCTTTCCCAATCAGCTTAGGCTAAACTGTGTGGCAGGGACGGCCAAGAGAACTGGAGCTGAGAGGGTCCGGCAGGACTTCGCCGAACAAAGGAAGCACTTTCCGTGCTTGAGGTGAATCTTGAGTAAAAGCAGAACCGGGAGCAGGCAGAACACAGAGCAAAGGCAGTGAGACTACAGTGGAGGTTTAAAATGAGAGCTGCTAAAACTGAACATTGGAAAAATAAGGTGGGGTTGGATTAATAAGCAATTTCGAAGGCAGAGGAGGAATTCAGGACAGGTGACCGGAGGCCCTAGTATGTCCCAGGATAGGAAAATGACTTTTTGTGGGAGGATTACTCTAATGCAAGTTAGATTACTCTAACACAGGGAGGGAGGCAGCAATAGAGTAAAGGGAGGCGACACACCAAGAATGAAGATCTTAACTGCAGCAAGGGCGATGGAAAGGAGAGGAATGAATGTATACGAGACTTTCAGAAGAACAAACAGGACTTAGTCATGTCAAACTTTTTCGCCCCAGGGAGTGGAAGATATTAAATAGGTGGGAAAAGAGGGGAATAGGAAGAAGTTAGACCAGCCGTCTGAAATCCAAATGATTAAAAAAATTAAGCACAGGCAAGCAAACTTGATTCAACATCTACAATGTTTTAAGTTAAGCTGTGGAGAAGAATCATACAGCTAGGTGTCCCATCTCCTCTAAACATACTAAAGGCAAGCATCCATGATTTTGTTGCTGTTGTTAAATCTAAGAACGTCAGGAGACAGAACTACTCAGATTCTTCAAGAGCCCTGTGAAATTTGTGAAGGGTGTCAGAAAAAGAGTCCCCCTCACCCCCTTGAAGAGAGGGCTCATCACTTGGGAGGCAAGGATCAAAGCAAGGGCTCTGGAAACACTCCCTACATCCGAATCCTACTGCCCCACATAGGAGCCAGGAAAACCTGGAGAAACTTGGTTACCAGGGAGGAGGGGCAAACTTTGTTGCTGTTTTCAGGCTTGGGAAGGGAGAGAAGTAGGTGGTGTTGAGAAGGTAAAACTCTGAAATGCTGATTTAGACAGAAGGTGAGTCACCACTTAGAGTTTCAGTTTCCCCAGCTGTTAATTTAAAAAAAAAGTGGGGGGGGGGAGGTCGTGGATAAAAATCTACCTCATTAGATTTCTTAAGGGCTGCAAATTCCTTCTAAAACATTCAGCGTAACGTCCGGTATGCTATAAGCATTATATAAATGCTAGTGGTCCAGAACATCGATACAAAGAACAATGCTATTTTTAACGCTACTATTAAATATCTTCTCTTTGATGTTCGCTGAGCGTTTTCCTACTATTACAGTTTTTCTCAAGTCTCAAGGGGAACTGCAATCCCAAAAGGGATCAGGACCCCGGCAGCGGAGGCCTTGGGCAGAAAAAGGGCTGGGAGGGTGCACAGGGAGGCTGCGGGCCCGGCCTCCAGGCCTTGCGCACCATCCAGGGGGCTGGGGGCGGACGACAACAGGCAACTTCACAGCCGCCTGCTTACTCCGCGCCGGACACCGAGCGCTACGCTCCGCATGCCGTCCGCTATCACACTCGCCACGGCCCTCGGAGGCAGCGGCTTTCGTCAGCGCCACTTTACACATGGGGAAACTGAGGCCCCGGGATGAAACCGCTAGCCAAGGTCACATGGCTCTGGAGCCGAGAGCGCAGGTTCGCGGCTCCCGAGACCCCGCTCTCAGGCTCCGCGCTTCGCCGCGTCCCCGCGCGGCCGGCCGCCCAGAGCCCGCGAGCGAGCGGAGGCCGCGGCTCGGGCCCAGCCGGGAGGCGGGCGCGGGGGCGGCGGCCGGACTCACCTTGGCGCTGTGCACCGCCTCCTGCGCCCCGCGGAGCTGCAGCCAGATGCGTGCGGGCAGCGGCTCCTCGACCCCGAGCGCGCCGAGCACGGCCAGGCTCACGCCGAACAGGCCCTCGATGCGGCCGCGGCTCCGCTCCAGCAGCGCCGCTTTCTCGGCCGGCGCCGTGAACTCGTCCAGCACCGCCCGGGCCGCCATGGCGGGCGCGGCCTCCCGCGGCGGCGCCGGGGGCCCGCGGCGGCGCCGCCCCCTCAGCGTGCTGCCGGGCTCCCGAGCCCGTCGGGCGGCGTCGGCCCGCCCCGGCCGCCTCGCCCCCGCCCGCGCTCCGCCGCCCGCCCGCAGGCCCGGCTACACCATCCCGCCTCGGCCGCCGCAGCTTAGCAACTGCCGGCTGCAAACCCCTCCGCCCCTTCGCCACCGCCGCCGCCGCCGCCGCCGCGGGCCGGGCCCGCCGCCGCGCATGCGCCCCGCTCGCAGCCGTCACTGAGGCTCGCCACCCCCTAGGGGGAGGGGGCGTGGGGTGAGGGCGACGGAAGTCGACGACACTCGCGGTCACCATGTTGGTTGAGGGCAAAGCGACGGCTCAGGAGGCCTTCTTCGATGAGGGCACAAGGTTTTCCCGTGATCTGATAGATGTGGATTTGCGGTTTACAGTTGGGGAAATTGAGACTCAGAGCCAGGAGAGGAGACTGACCCAGTGTCACACAGTGATTGGATTTGACCTCAGACATCTTGAAGCTCAAACCAGGGTTCCAGCAACTGAATTACCTATTTCGCATTAACTGATAAGCAGATTGGATCTTTCCTTCTCTTTTCTTGCTCCCTCCCTCCATCCTTCCTTCCCTTCCCTCTTTATTTCTTTTACTAAAAATAGTAACAGGAAGAGCAGAAAATGGACATACGTATGGAGAATTGGAAAACGAAAAATGATTAAATTCAGGAGAGTGATCTCTTCTGCAGGGGAAGCAGGGGGATGTGTTATGGGAGAAGCACTAAAGTAGGGGTGGGTGGGGACTCACCCATGACCTTACTGCTGGACTGGGACAAATAAACCCTAACCCCTCCCTGGGTCTGTTTTCCCATCTGTAAAACAGAAGGTTACACTCAGTTATCTCTAAGATCTTTTCCAGGTTTTGCATTTTCTGAGTCCACGAAAACAGATTATGGAAGGTATTGGATTCCTTCCCTTGGACTAATATCGTGGATATAGTAGATAGGTAGGAGTCACGGGAATGTTACTTAACTTCTCTATGTCTTAATTCCTCATCTGTAACATGTAGGTAATAGTACTTACTACCTGTTGTGAAAATGAATATAATATAGTACCTGACACAGTAAATGCTCACCGAATATTAACTATTATTGCTAAATTAGCAAGATATTGAAAGCTCAATTTTCATGGAGAATCTTAGTGTGGATTATGCAACGACAGTGAACTTGTGGGCCCAGGAGCCTGCTCCATTTGTGTAAAAAGAGGATCTAAAGACGTTGCAGTTGGAAATGCCACGGAGGAATGGGCTTGGTAAGAGGGATTACCCGAGGTGAAAACTGTCTGGGATCCCGGCTGCTGGGGGTTTCCACGTGTCTCAGAAACTCAGGCAGGTGTGGTCTCCTGGTATCCCAGTGAGAGGTGACTCAGCACAGGGAAGAGAACCACTAGGCTCACAGACCAACAGCTTCCTGCTCCTCTGGGTTTTTCCCAGATGTCCGCACAACCAGCAGCCTTGCTCCATCAGGTAGATGACCTGGGATTGGCTGAGGAGGGTCAGGTGGTGAGTGTGGCCTTGCTGATATATTGCATGCAGGACTGCAGTGTATCAGTAAGGTATGCTATCAGCACAACATGTTATTTCCTGTCTCCTCATTGCACTCACCTTAAATGGAATTGCCATTGTTCAGTAATTGGACAGGGCTTTTCCCAGGGCTGGTTCCTGTTTGCTCCCAGTGACATCCCTGGCAGTGATTCTTAGTTTCTTAATTGTAAGGGATGAGGAGGGAGGCTGCCTTGAAAAACATGCAACAGCCCTTCCCTCTCCCTCCTAATCCAAATCCCACCCTAAAACAACAGAAGTAGTGCATACACACACCCATTAAAAGAAAGCTGGACCGTCAAACTGTATTCATAAGTAACTGGGTTGATGTATCACCAAAACTACACAGCTTTGGGTTTTTCCTCCCCTGTTTGGAAGACTTGCCAGTTCATATTTGGTCAGCATTTCCCTTTAGGGAACTCTCAAGGTTTCCTGAGTATAGGGAACAGGGAGGAAGAGAGAGAGAGAGAAATCCCCCTTTGAGAACTCCCTTGCTTCATGCAGTTTCTGAACCACAACTTCCCTCAGTTAACCAGCCTTGTCTGGCTGGCTGGCCTTACCAACTCAGGACAATGGACACCAGGGATGAGAACTTTATGGAGTCTGTATTCCAGATACTTTACCTATATTTTTCTCTAGTTCCCATATTAACCCCATAAGATGGTGTTGAGAGAATCACGAATTCTCCCTTCTCATATTTTCAAGGGCAGTGGGAGGTGAGGGGGGATTCCTACGCTACTCTGCGGTGGGGCCAAGTGTGGAGAAACATATCCGTCTAGCTTTCATCTGCCTCTTCCCCAGAGAAGAAGGAAGATTTCTCTGTCTGGTGACTTTCTAAGAGGGCTCAGTGCTGGGTGGGGCCACCGTACCCCCAGAGAGGATGCTCTATTACCTGCTGTCTGTAGTTGCTCACTGTGTTGGTGACTGGGTGAAGTATCTTCACCTCAACCACATCCTCCAGTCCAGCTTTTGTGAATAATAGAGATGTTATTTTGATCTCTACCTGTCTGATGTTTGCTTTTTTTCTCAGTTCTGAACTCAGAAGGATCAGAAAGAGTGTTTATCGGCCTCCTAAAACTCCAGCAGTGGTTGCTGTTGTTATCACCCCTATCTTAAAAGACACAGAAGCATAGTGAGGTTCTGTAATGTTCCACAGGGCTGGTAAGTGTCGGTAGGAATAGGCATTTGAATCCAGGCAATCTGACTCTGCTGAGGCTCTTATGTGCTATGCTGTAATGACAACAAGCTTGTGTGTGCACCCAACCTCCTTTCTGCCCTAGTGCAAAAATGAGCGAGAGGAGATAATGTGTTCTCGTGACCAACCTCTTAATGCTTGGACCCTACTTGCCTTGGGATGCTGTCAAAACCGGGCAGACCTGCACATGGAATGTTGCTCAGCATGCCCAAGCAACCTGATACATAGACTCAGGATGCTCCCTGGCCAGCAGTGTCCAGGTTGGTGTGTCTTTTGGGGTTCTGTATTTTTGGTGTAATCATATCTAGAGTTTTAGAATAAGAAACAGGAATACGACCATGCTGCAACCACACACAAATTTTAATAAACTTGCAAACCATTCAAATTCTCTTATCCCTTGTCACCAGTCCAAGCCACCATCATCTTTCCCTTTGACAACTGTGGGGTCTCTTCATACTCTTTCTGGTCTCTCTCTAAATTTATTTTTATTTATTTATTTTTAATTTTTTTATTTTTTTGAGACAGAGTCTCACACTGTTGCCCAGGCTAGAGTGCCACAGCATCAGCCTACCTCACAGCAACCTCAAACTCCTGGGCTCAAGCATCCCCCTGCCTCAGCCTCCCAAGTAGCTGGGACTAGAGGCATCCATCACCGTGCCTGGCTAATCTTTTCTATTTTCAGTAGAGACGGGGTCTCACTCTTGCTCAGGCTGGTCTCCAGCTCCTGAGCTCAAGGGATCCTCCTGCCTCAGCCTCCCAGAGTGCTAGGGTTACAGGCATGAGCCACCTTGCCCGGCTGTCTCTCTAAATTTCAAGAGCTGCAACTGCTACAAGACTGGGAGAAATTATTTAAAAATATAGATGCTTCAGCCAGAGTGATCTTCTCAGATTGCTAATCTCATCAGTCAGTCCCTTGCTTAAACCACTCCATGAGCTTCCCTTTAAACTCAGAATAAAATCCAAACTCTTTATCTTGGGTTGCAGCCCTTGCAAGATCTCTCTCCTGCCTACCCCACCTCTTCTCCTCTCCCCGCTTGGCCTAGCTTGCACCACCTCAGGGCATTTGTACGTACTGTTCTTTATTCCTCTTTTCTTTTCGTTTAGTTAACTCCTCATCCTCCAAAGCTCCATTCAAGAGCAACTTTGTCAAGAATTCATTCACTGGTCTCTCCCATGAGCCAAATCTCCCTGCCACAGGCTCTGGGGCACTGTGGTCCTCTCACTCAAGGCAGCAGGGCCAGTTTTATGTGTGCTTGTGTGACATGATCAATTCAGGTCCATCTCCACCATCAGACCATGGGGGCCATGACTTGAGGCTGGATTGAGCTTGAACGAAAAGCAGGCCTGCATGCACCCTCCATGTCTGGATTATCCTGAGGCCCGGAGCACCCAGAGGTAGGTGAGGCCAAATCTTCCAGAATGTGGTGTAACAGTTACAGATGTTGTTTTTTCTTTTGAGTACACCGAGAAAAAAAAAAAAAGCCTTGCCAGGTTTTTAAGCAGCAAATGCACCATCTAATTTGTGCTCTAAGATCCCTCTCCTTTCTCTGGGGGAGAAAGTGTGGAGGGAGCCCGGGAAGAGCACTGAGGGGGGCTTGGCCCAGGCATGAGATGTTGGTGGCTTGGCCCAGGAAAGTTGGGGTGGAGACTGAGAGGAGGAATTTGAGAGCATTTTGATAGAATCTTGCATTCCCAGTGCAGAGGGCTTGTTTCTCCTTAGCTGCAGGAAGATCTTGATGCCTGCTGCTTCCAATCTTTTACTTCTCTCCCTTTATATTTCCTTTGAATTTTTATTATCCGTGTGATTGAAACTCCTCTAACACTAATTCAAACTGCTAGAACTGCTACAATATTGAGAGGAGCTATTTATAAAACTCAGACGTCTTAGGTGGAAACACAGCTCTGGGCCAAGTGCTGCTACAGAGATTGCCTGCTGTCTGCCGGCTCCCGAATGCCTCTAACGCACGGCTTTCCCGTCGCCCTGTGCAGCAGGCTTCTCAACAGTGCACAATTCACATTCGGGCCTGTCCTATGCATTGTAGGATATTTAGCAGAATCCTTAGCCTCTACTCACTAAATGCCAGTAACAAGCACCCCCCTAAATGTGATGATAGCAAGAATGTTCCCAGACATTGCCTTGTGTCAAAATTGTCCCAAGATGAGAATCACTGGCCTACAGAGCAAACTCAGAGAAAGCCCAGTCCCTGGGACTGAGCTAGTGAGAATTCAGTATCCTCCTCCCTTTTGCAGACACCCCATGGGGCACACCCATACACACCCCCCAAATCTAATGAACGCTCCCCTGAGTGTAGACCAACAATGGGTTAAGGTTCCTGGTTGATTGTGTGACCACCAAGCAAGTGACTAGGCAATGCGCCCACTAGCCATCGCTGCCTCTCATTAGCTCGGTACATTCTTGCCAGGCCTACCTGTCTTTAAAGCC